CTGCTGCCCTTATGCACATGACAACATACTGGCCCATGGCTTCAGGAGAGATGGCTACTTCTGGTGCACTGAAGCACGGAAGATTGCAGACTCAGACTTCTGGTGGAACTACAGAATCTGTTCCTGGTAGTGTCAGGGCCAACCTCGCTGAAGATAAAATTGAATTCTGCGGGTTTCAGAATTATAACATAAGCTGAGTACCCAGCCTCATCAAGTCTTTCAGTGAAGCTGGGAATTCTAAACCTGTAAATCACTTTGAGCTTCTGTCTCTGGTGGCAAAACCTTAATAGCCTGTGAATGAAGATGCTAAAATTCTGTAATGACCTCTCGTGGGGCAGTTGCTTTGCAAAGGGATGGCTGTTCTTAATAACTACCCCAATCTAGTCTTCATTTTCATTAGACTGTAACCCAAGTTAGACTGCAGCAGGCTCCAGGAGAAAAATGCAAAGTCTGATCCAGGAGAAAAAAATTTAGATTGAAGATGGGTCTGGAAGATGCCTGGATTCCAGGCAGGACAATAACCATAAATGTATACATGGAGGTGGGCTGATTCATGGAGCAGACCATACATCATTTAGTTTGTTTGGAATGTAGTTACAAGTAAAACTGTAAAAGTGGGTTCAGCCATATCAGGATGTACCTTGCATGTGATTTAAATAGGGGACGAAGAACCAGCAAAGGGTTTTGAACAGGAATAACGTGCTCAGACGCTAACTTGGGGAAGATTAATCTGGATGGACAGTGGCAGGAAAAGTGAAGTCCAGTGGTTAGAAGCCGTTTCCATGGTACAGGAAGAACCGTGGCTGGAGCTAGTCGATGGCAGTGAGGATGAAAGGACCGGGGAGGTAAAAGACACACAAGATGTAGAGTATCCTTAGTTGCAAGTGTGGATTCAGGCCACAGGAGGAGGGAATGAGGCGAACATTTTGGGTGTGGGTACAGATGGCACAAAAATGAGAGGGATAGGGGAATGCCAAAAGAAAAACTGAGGTGGAAACACACATTGAAGATGCCAAAAAGAAGCGTTCTGCTGATGTAGACAGAGCCCCTAATGGAGAAAATAGAGGAACTTGCAGCAGGGCTTCTGCAATAGAGCAGGGACATGTGGAACTTCAGCGTACTAATAAATTGCCAGTGTGGGGCCAACTGTTGACGAGGATTTTTTGTTTGTTTTTCAGAGAGTGATAGAGGGAAAGTGACGAGTCACCCCCCCAAGAGGGATGGCCATACCACAATCCCTTTTCTCCGCATTCTCCTCCTTTTGGGCATGCACACACGTGCACCCAGCATGAGGAAAGCGTGAGTTCTATTTGTCCTTTTCTATTATCATTTGACTGAAATTTGGGGGCTGGAAAACATGGTAATTGTTCTGGAGCTGAAAACACTGGCATCAGAAACTCATCTGCAGCAAAGAAGCAACCTAAGAAATGAATAGATTATGTCACCTCTCCTGAGCTGTTTGTGGAATGCTCTGTAGGAAAAAAACTGATTGACTGAGGTTAGAGAGACAGCATAAAACAGACAAGGGTGGGTTATCCTACAGGATGCAGTGACCCCGATAAATTTAGAGAACAATTCACCATAGTCTGGTTGGAAAGTTTTCAAGGCGTTATAATTTTCATCTTTGAAGTCTCTGGGCCTGAAATTCATAGTGTAGATCCTTTCCTTAGTTTATGTAAGCTTGGGAAGGAGGATTGATAATCATCAACATGTCTTTGTACGAACGGTCCTGCACACAGAGAACATTAAGTCTGCTGAACTCTTGAACCAACTCACACCAAGGAGAAGGTGAACTGTGGCCAGTTGTGGGTCTGGGATGAGCCCAGCCTCGGTAAATATTTGTATCTAGTGTAAACTCTCTGCCTTTGTCTTTCACCAAGTCTTTTTTAAGTCGTAGTGGGCCCGTTCTGGTGGCCGTGAGAGTGTTAGAGCAGGTCTCTAACTACAGGGAGCATAACTGATTGTAGGACCATGCTGCTCATCACTGGGCTGCCTTTGAGCAGAGGCCATACTTGTTCAGGCTGCTCCTACCCAATGACCCAGTATGGTGGAGATGCTAGCAGGCCTATTGCCTGGAGGCACAGGACTCTGCTAATGCCCTGCTTTGGCTAGGAACTCCCCTCCAGCCTTGCTCAACCATTCTTAGACTGCTTGGCAGTCTAGGATGCTTCTACCCAAGTCTCCTCCCCTTACTCTTTTGCTTGGGGTCAGACTGCACCCCAGTCTTACAGTTCTTTGTGTTTTTTTCTAGCTCCCCTATTATCTTTCAGAGGTGTTTTAATAAAATCTTTGTATGTTTAGTTCTGTCTTAGTATATGTTTCTTGGAGGACTGTTCTTAGAAAACATACCCTTTTGGGGCTGGCAGGTGGCATGGTGGTTAAGGGTGCTGGACTTCCATATGGCCAACCATGGTTCAAGTCCCAGACCTGGGCGTGCTTTCTCACTTTCTCTCTTTCTCTCACTCTCACTCTGTCCCTCTCTGGTTGGATTGCAATAACTAACTAACTAAATAAAGTTAAATAAAGTAATTCTTAAAAAAAATGCATACCCTTTCTTGATGACTTGATTCGTACCCTTTTTGTCATTTAAATCAGCACCAGAGCCTACTCTTATCTCAGGACTACTTGATTTAGACTCTCTCTGGTCCTTATTCCTCCCCACTTAGCAGCTGGACCTTTTCTTCACACCACCTACTTCCGGCCGATGTCATGATCAAATGGGTGGACCATGTAGAATCACAGCCCTCGTCTGGAACCATCTGTAAGACTTTGACCCTGACTATGAGCTGAAAACTCACCATTTGACATTGTTGCTATGACCAAGAATGAAAAGAATGAACTAGTTTTTCCTATTTTCAGATATTAGTTAAGAATTGAATCAAGTCAGGCACTGGAGTTTTGGCCACTGGCCACCTTCTATGGTGCTAGCCTTGTAATGATATGAGTTACACAAGCCTGTGGCCTGCATGATTGTGGAATCTGTTCCCTTCTCTGTTGGCTTGCAGTTGAGGAACCTGTTTCCATATATGAAGAGTAAGAATATCATTCACCTATACAGCTATTGAAATGTCCTCCCTCCAATCTCAGCTGTTTCTGGTAATTCTCAATGGGAGTAAATTGCAGATCCTCTTGAGGTTAGTGTGGGAGCAGAAGAAATGAGAAAGCAGTGGATATTTGAGTGACATGGAGAATAACCTAAGGAGCAAAAATGCAGAAATAGAAAGTAGGAAGACTTCAAAGTGACCCTCACTGCCTCCACAGTCTTGTTCTGCGTCAGGCAGAGTCACCGACTCAACACAGACAGATTTGGAATCTTGGTCAGTTACCCACACAGTTGCACAACAAGCAGGAAGCCGTACTTAATCCTTTCGGCAATCAGAAACGCAATTATCCTCATCAACTTATGTTTCTAACTTTAAAATCTTTTTACTTTGAGGGTTCATTCATAGTCACATCTGGTAATTGAGTCTGTGAAAAAGAACTTGACTACAGTAGATGCAAAAATCTGTAAGAAAAGGTTTGAATAGTGCTGGTGTCATGTCAGAATGAGAAGGTGGTGATGTGTTAAGTAGTGGAGTGATCAGAACCTCATTTGTCTTAATGCAAGGGGATTGTGGACGGAAAACTGAGTTTGCAGATTGTAGGTGCTTCCCTGCTATACCATGTTGTAAGATTAGTCAGCACTGCCTGAGCTGGAAGCTCCCTGGCTCTATCACTGTCTCTGTGTACTGTTTCCTCACCTGTAGCACAGGCTAATGTTCATGAAAAGAGGATGATAATGTGAACATGAAAGCAGCTGGAGGAGAATGTTGTAGCCTACAAATATAGGGTAATGCCTTCTGTATAGAGATTGTACTAACAGCCAAGCAGAGTAACTAGATACTTCTGGAATTTAGGTAGCAAGCAGATTGGCTTTATGACTTAGTAATAATTTTTTCATTAGTTGACTGTTAATCCTAAAATAGCTTCAAAATAACTAATATTCTCGTGTCTTAGTCTCCTATAACAAAATGCCACAGTCTGGCTGGCTTAACCACACTCCTGGAGTTTGGGAGTGAGATCAGGGGCCAGCAGTGGGGGTCTGGATGGGAGCGTTCCTCCTGGATTATAGACAGCCATCCTCTTGCTGTGCTCTCACAAGGCAGAAAAATGGCTAGGTGGCCCTCTGACTCCACCCTCATAACTAGGTTACCTCTCAAAGACCCTGCTTCTAAATGATCCACGGTGGAATTAGGGTTTCAGCATATGAACTCTACCGGCACAAACATTCAGGTCATAGGACATGGGCTAAGTGTAACACGCAATGGAGTATTTTCAAGCATCTGGCTTCCTTTGTCTTTCAAGTCCTCCCAGTTGCTTTCATAAACATGAATGTATAAAATACAGAGTTCAAATTTTACACGATCTATCCCCTGGCCTATCTTAATACATTTTCAAAAACAATAGATATTGGGAACCAGCAGTTGGCATAATGGCTATGTTGCTGGACTCCCACGTAGTCGACCGCGGTTCGCGTCCCGGACCCGGTGGCTTGAAACTCACGCTGGGCGCGTGTGCGTGCGTGCCTAAGATCCCGAGAGGAGAATGGAGGAGAAGGGATTGCAGTGTGACCATCCCCCTGGGGGGTGATTTCTCGCTTTCTGTCTCTAATGTCTCTCTCTGTCTGTCTGGTGAGCGCACGCGCCCTATAGCGAAAATCTCTCCAAAAAAACAAAAACAAAAACAAAAACAAAAACAAAAACAAAAGATATTTAAAAGAATTGCTTAAGAAAAGACGTAATATTTATTGACACTATTGATATTAGTTATTGATGTAATTTATTATAAGGTTGAGTTTTGTATTAGGCTTCTTGTTAACAAGGAACTGTAACACTTAATAGGTATAAAAGTAAATTTACATGGTGTTACCTGAATGCTGTATATAATGAATATATCACAATTTGAGAGTAAGGATTAAACAATATTATTTAGTTTCCTGAATAAAAATGACTTGAAAAGAATTATGTTAAATAATTTTATTTATGTGAATATGGATTAAGAATGTGTAACAATTTACATGACAATGTACATATGACAGAGATACATATGCAAATATATTTATTAATCTAATACATAGTTATCATATCTATTACATATAAGACACAGTAAAGGTACTGAAGATTTGGTGGAAAGTAAGCCAGGTGGGATTTGTGTTTACATTCAGGTGGAGGTGAGAAAGGGGAAGGCAGACAATAAACAAGGAAATAAAAGATTTTAGGAAAAAGTGCCAGTGAGCCTGTTTGCTTGCCTTCCGCTTGCTCCCTCCTCATGACCTGGTGCTTCTCTGGGTGACTTTCTGTGGTCAGGGTGAGCCCTTCTCCTGAGACTCTATGAGTATGACACATGGTCTTTGCAATGCCGTTTGTGGCCTCATCGGTTGGCCTCTCTGTAACGAACGATCCAACAACCTGCCTTTCCAAGCAGCCACGTGTAGCACAAGTTTCCCTCCCACGTACTGCTGTGTGCCTAGAACATTCGCCAGGGGGGCAATAAACTTGTTTCCACAGGAACAGAAGATATACACTGGCTGCTATTTCCGGGCAGTGGATTCAGCCATGGACACACTTTTCTGCTGTCACAGAGCTTACGTGCTAGTGAGAAGACACTGATGACTGCCAAACCAACAATGCCAGGAAGAAACAGCAGGGCAGGAGGTTACGCTTTTCATAGAATGATCGAGGAACTGACCCATGAGCACGGGATGCATATTGAAGTTGATCTACAGGAGCTTGAGTTTGACTAGGTGGTGGTATCTGGGGATACACTCACTTCTTGGAATACAGTTTGGAGTCAGTCTCTGGGACACTGTAAGAGACTCGAGTCCTTCAGGGTGACTACTTTCCCCTCCCATCGTTCTGCTGAAGGAGAGAGTGTGTGTGCTTGCTACAGAGTACTGGAGAGAGAAAGGGATAAAGTACCCCCGAAGGGGGTGGTCCTTTCTCCAATTCTCCCTCTTTTCCAGTTTTCTGAGCCATCAGAGCCAGGATTTGAACTGCAGTTGACCCAGTAAAATCTGGCTCCCTCAACCACTAGGTTATGTGACTGGCTCGTGACATTATTCTTAAAAGGGTTTGTTTTAAAGTCTTGAAAGAACATGGTTTTATTGATTGTCTATAGAGTACTGGTAAACATATGCTGAACAGCAAAATCAGGAGTATGGAAATCTTAATTCTTAAATAGGAACGTTTGGCCTGGGGATTGTCAGTAATTTTCAGAAACTCTACTGGAAATAATGATTGATGAAATCAGCACAAAGAAAACAGCAATGATGAGAATAGGAATAGCAAGGAGCTTGAGCCAACGGGCAAATAAGCAAGGCTTCTGAATTCTCCCAGCTTTTCGTGTTTTCATGGGCTTCAGGGACCGGTCCCACTGCGTCAGGATGGCATTTCTGGCCCCTTCCCACCTCCCTGGGCCCACAAGCCGGAACTGGTAGGGACTACAAGGGCCAAAGAAAACTTCCACAGCCAGTTTGGGATCTGTGAGAAACAGCCATGGGATGTTGGGCTTCGCCCCAATGAAAGAGGCCAGTTCATCCATATAGACGATGTAATCTGTCTGTATGGTCTCACTCTTGCCAAACCTAGAGGTGGAAGAAGAGACACCACCATGGATATACAAACTGTGTAGACACAAGACCAGCAAAAATGCCTTATGCCTTTTTATCAATAGCTTCTGTTAGTCACTTGCTTATTCTACACTGTAGTTTCTTTTTTTTCAAAGAACTCTTATATTTATCTCATTTAGATCAGCAATACTGCAAAGCAGCTTAGAAAATTATTTTTCTCCTCACTTACTAATGACTAGGTTGTACCTTATTCAGGTGAAGTTATTAGTCCAGGCTACTGAGCTGGCCAGTGATGGATTCAGGAGTGGAGCCCCATCCTCCAGACTTGTTCTCTCTCTCTCTTTTGGATAATCATTCTCATTTTGCTGAGTATTATCATTACAGGCATCCATGTGAATGAAGCATCCCTTACATCTCTGAGGCCTTACGGGTTAGAGAAGAGAAATCCACATCCATTGATACCAATCCCTCTCTTTCTAATGCTTTCTTTTTCTTTTTTTTTTCTTTTTGGAGAGTTTTTTTGCTATAGGGTGCATGCACTCGCCAGACAGAGAGACAGAAAGCAAGAAATCACCCCCCAGGGGGGATGGCCATGCCACAATTCCTTCTCCTCCATTCTCCTCTCAGGATCTTGGGCACGCATGCACATGCACCCGGCGTGAGTTTAAGCCACTGGGTCCGGGACTCGAACCGCAGTTGACTATGTGGGAGTCCAGCAACATAGCCATTATGCTAACTGCTGGTCCCTATTTCTAATGCTTTCTGTATCTTGCTTCTGTGATATATGGCAGGAGCCAAGCAAAATGTAGGTTCTCACTCCTACTACTCACACTGCTTCTTGCACCAACAGAACTTCACACAGTGTCCGGTACCAAGTAGATCTTCAGACACGTTTGCCCAATGGGTGACTGTACCTCATGTGTGTAACTCTAATGTCCTCGCGTTAACATTTAAGACTGAGGCAGGTCCAAGCATTCACAAGTTCTGACTTTTCTATGGACATCCTAGACCCCCAGTATAATAAGTATTCTTACCATTTGAGCTTTTTCCCCATTTTCTCATCAATATCACTCATCATGTCTTTTACAGATGGCAAAGTACAAGTTCCTAGGAAAAAGGGAACACCAGGTAATGGTTAAGTGAGTCTGGCATAGGACCAGCCTAGTTTTTCTTCTTAATAATAAGTTATGAATCACATTAACATGTCCAATTTTTTTCACTGTTCAGCAAAATTAAATATTGAGCAAATGAATGAGTAATCATTTTGAGACAGACAACTCATTCCCAATCTTCTCAGACCTGACACTTGCCATAGTAATTAAAAACCATTAGCTGAATAGCTCTGCATCTTTGCTTTTAAACAATTTACAAGCCAGTTTCTGGGATTATATTCTAATCTCTCAGATGCACACACACACACACACAGTTTGCAAAGACTTTACTTCTGGATATGCATGTCATTTTTTTGAGGGAAGGTTTTTTTTTTTTTTTTTTTTTTGCTATAGGGCACGTGCACTCACCAGACAGACAAAGAGAGACAGAGAGACAGAAAGCGAGAAATTCCCCCACCAGGGGGGATGGCCACGCCGCAGTCCCTTCTCCTCCATTCTCCTCTCAGGATCTTGGGCACGCATGCACATGTGCCCGGCGTGAGTTTTAAGCCACCAGGTCCAGGATGCGAACTGTGGTCGACTACGTGGGAGTCCAGTGACATAGCCATTACACTAACTGCTGGTCCCTGAATGTCATTTTTAGCAAATACTTTTAAAAAGGAACATTAACGATATTATTAGAGTATGATCAAGAATATAAGATAAAGTACTCAGTTATTTGAATTATTCTACGTGGACAAAACTCTGGGGAAAAATGACTTTGTGACATTTTAAAAGGCACAATAGCACTTACAATAGCCCTTTTTGCTATTTGCTTGCCATCAAGTATTCAAAAGGGAAAGCATGCCACTGGAGGTAGAAATTTCTAAACAGATTTGCCTTTGAAAGTTCAGGTGACATGTCACAAAAACAATTCAGGTGATCAAGCACTTTCAGTTTCAGGCTGAAGGTGGGCAATTTTCAGAAAATGGAAGACAAGATTTGACTTCTGAACAAGCATCATGTCCAGGAACTGACACTTGGGACACCCATCCTGAACATTTCTAGTTACATGTGGGATTTTTCTGTTTAGTAACTATGGTGGTGAGGACATTAACTCCTTAATTAAACATTGGTCAGTACCAGGTCCTTGTTTGACATGTTTCAGTTTCTTTCTTGGTAACTCTTATTGATCAGGGGAATTATGGGCAGCAAGGCATTTCCTTGGACAAATGACCTATAAACGAGGCTTATCTGAAAAAAAACAAACAAACAAAACAAAACACTTTTTTTGTGGTAGAAGGGGCCCGTTCATCAACACTGTTCAAGACACTCAGCATCGGGACAGTGGTTGAAAACTGTGGGTTGAGCAACACCAGCTATAGCAGGGCTTACAGATTTCTAGCTGGGTGCTTCTATATATTCTGGATAGTTTGGGGTGGTTTGTTTTCTATTTTCAGGGAAATCCTTGACTTTTTATAGTTATCACCAAGATCTGAATAAATGGAGGGAATTTCTTGAAAGCTCTGTTTATCCCAGGGATTCTTATCTGATGAAATCCTGTAACTGGAGTTGACTGTGAACATGGGCAAAGTCTTGGCTATCTTCAAAATCATATTCTGGATCTGACTGAAAATGAGGTAGAGGAAAGCTTGTTCTTGGATACCTAGAGGCAGATTTGCTGTGTAATACTTACCTGTAGGCAGATCATTTCTGTGAGGGCTGGCTGGAGTTTTCAAAACTAACCTCAGTGAAAAATCAGACTCTGCAGGATAACTTTCTTCTGCCAAAGATGTTCACTAATGTAACAAAAATTCTGTGATTTCTTTTGTAATTTCTGTTATAATGTCCATTTCTTTAGCAATATCATCAAAGAGATCAGCTGAAGCATTGTAGCTACCGTCACAACCAGTAGAATACACCTGCAGTAAGTTATTACTGAAATGTCCATCGGCATTTCTTTCAATGTGCTTCTCTTTGGAGAAACTCTACTGCGAAGAGTTTCTAAAGGGAAGCTTCCTGCCAACTGTAAAACTGTCACCTTGGTTCTGTGGCCACTGATAATATTGTTTATTTTATAATTTGCAAAGATTAAAAACATCATTTTTCTTCCTAGAACACAAAGTTGTCAACACTTCATTTCTGAAAGTGATTTTTCTCCACATCTGTTAAAATATTCGATATTGAAGTAAGAATGGTCTCTCTTGGGACCAGCAGATGGTATAATAGTTACATTGCTGGACTCCATCAGAGTTGATCATGGTTCAAGTCCCAGACCTGGTTGCTTAAAACTCACACTGTGTACATGTGTATGCATGCCCAAAATCCTGAGAGGAGAATGGAGGAGAAAGGATTGTGGTGTGGCCATCCCCCCTAGGGCGTGATTTATCACTTTCTGTCTGTCTGTTTCTGTCTCTTTGGCAAATATACATGCCCTATAGCAAAAATATCTAAAAAAAAAAAAAAGGAATGGTATTGCTCAGAAGTATTAGGTTTAAGTCAAATTTCATTCATATGTGGTGAAATTTTGATAGTTTCATAAGAGTAACTGTTGTTCCTAAATTTTTTGAAGATGAGAACAGAGATGACAGCTAAGTCTTTAGCAGAAAACATTCCAAAATATTCTATTACTACTATCCTTCTATTACTACTTATAGAAACAGCCTCTGATATGTTATCTGGTTGTAACTTCTTTTGAACACTCAGTCTTTGCTTCACAGCTGGAAAGGAAGTTACCTTAGCTAGAGCTCGCTGTGACTGTTGCCTGTGATGATCTTACAGCTGTCAGTGGAACAGGCAGGACTCCAGTAGTTCTCTGGGAAGTCACAGACAACCTGCTGTGGTCTGCATGAAGTTTATTAAGGTCATTGTCTACATGATGTTCCCTACTACTGGCATTTGTCCGAGTTATAGCAATCTCACTCTCAACTCCCAGAAACGTGTTCAGGCTTTCCGAGAATGGCGGATCATCGAGTATCTCAGGGTCACAATCCTGGGAACTGTCAGCTCCATCCTCAAGACTGAGTGATGAAGGTGGATACCATGTACATTTCTCGTGAAGGTTACTGAAGGCAACATGATTCTGTTAACGTGGTAGCTCTTGCTGGGACAGCTCTTTTTCATTTCTCATGCACTGTGGAAGAATTTTGTATTACTTGACTCCAGGAACTCTCTTGTTTTCAAGAGGAATAAGTTAGAGTCAGTAGCTCCAATTTCATGTTGATCGCTATGAACTGCACTCATCCGATTAGCTCGTGGGTCAAATTCTTCACCCAACTTTCCTGCTATACACTTTTCATTCATATATGAAACATGACTCCATGAATCCAGAGTGGGATCATAGCAGCTATTAGAGCCAGTGGCCTTTGCGAAGGACTCTCTGTTCTGCTGAAGAGTACTAATGATCCTGCTTTGTTCTGAAGCTAAAAGATCATCATTATCTGATAGCTGGGATACAATGGAAACCAGTTCAAGTAATGGCTTGCAGAATTTTGGAAAATTATCTTTGCCGTAAGACTCAGAAAAATAAGATATACTATCAGAACCATCTATACTGCTAAGATCACTATTTGAGTGATTTAAAGCAAGTATGGGGCAATTAGGGAGCCTGGGAGTCATGGAGAAGTTTCTCGAAATTGGAAATCTACAAAAATTGAAGGAAATCGTCAGCAACAGTGAGGCCTGCAACACCTGGGTCTGTCAGAGCAATCTGGCAAGTTACTAGTGCTTTGACTTCTCTTTTGCTGTCAGGACACTGCTGTAAGAACTCACAAAGAATCTAAACCTTGTACAAATGGTTTTTCAAAATTTGTTACTCCAAAAATAAAGGGTTGTTCAACACAGCAAGTTACAACTGCTTTAATTAGTAGGTCCCAAGTTGTATCACTGTCCAGTGTTTCTGGAATCTTATTAGGATCCTGACTGTACCTGTGCAGTCCAATGGTAGTAAGACCAAAGAAGGTGTCTAAGGAGCTTCCAAATATAGCTATGAGAAACAATTTGATTCTGCAAATTTAAGGAAAATGTATATCTATCTGTAACTGGCATTTTCACCTTCATCAGTAGGGCCACATTTTGGACAATCTTACCTTTTGGAGAGCAAGGTTATCTGAGAGAAACACTTCTGAGCTGATGGATATAGAAAACTCGAATTACGGAGACCTAGTACTGAGGCAAGAAGAAATTTTCTCCTATTCAGGTGTTTACACTGAGGCCTCAACCAGGAGACACACAATGGCGTAAGCCAGTCAGATTTTCTCAGCCATATTTTTAAAAATGTTATCTAATAAGGGACCAGCAGTTAGCGTCATGGCTATGTCGCTGGACTCCCACGTAGTTGACCGCGGTTCACGTCCCGGACCCGGTGGTTTAAAACTCATGCCGGGAGCGTGTGCATACATGCCCAAGATCTCGAGAGGAGAATGGAAGAGAAGGGACTGCAGTGTGACCTTGCCCCCTGGGGGGTGATTTCTCACTTTCTGTCTCTCTGTCTCTCTCTGTCTGTATGGCGAGTGCACGCGCCCTATAGCAAAAACCTCTAAAAGAAAAAAAGAATGTTATCTAATAAGTTATAGCCAAACAATGGTAAATAAGCACTTCTATTTTTAAGATTTAAGAAAAATATTATAAAAAATAATTGTTTGTAGAAAAGAGACTTTCTATCAGATAAAATATAGTTTAGTAGAGCTTCACATCGCTCTCTGGAGAGCCTGCAGTTCTTGGATGAAATGGAAAAGGGACTGTCCACAGTCACCAAGGACAGAGGGAAGCCCAGCAGACCAGATCCAAGTTGAGGCTGCTCCAGGACTTCAGGCTTATTCAGGTGCAAGTTTACAGGGTTCTCTAAAACTCAGACTCAAGCATGCTTTAGCACACAGAAAAGCTCCAAACATGAGTGGTTTCTCTGACAGTCTTGAGATCACCTTGAGTGGTATTAAAACTTACAGCCCAGACAACAAGTGTCCAAGGTACACAATGACTTGCTTACGTCTCTGCTCCTGTGCCCCTACAGGTAGGGTCACTTGAACAGCTTAGGTAGCTGTGGTTATTCCAAACCTGGGAACTTGTTTTACTCTTGTGAAGGAAAAGCAATTCAGAGGAAAGAGATTTGAGCCCAAGAGCCTACCAGCCACTGCCCCAGGCTTACAACCACCCATCTGTCCTAGTACTCTGGGTCCCCACACTGAGGTGTTTGGTCATCTCCTATCCCCCTGGAACCGCATCTTTGCCTTTCATCTCAATGCTATGTCATTGCCTTGGCACTTTTCTTCAGAGCCCAGGTTTCCTCACCTGCCATCACAGAGTGAGTGTCCAGCCTCCCTCTAATGTAGTCTCTCTGGGCTTGCACCCTAAGTGGGTCCTGCGTGGAACGTCATGCTGTTGCCTTCCTGGCTGCTGCCCTACTGTGGAAACATCATCCATGACACACCTCTGCCTGGGGGGAGGGAGTGAAGGAGAGCCGGGGCACCCCCAGTGTGCAGAGCAGACATGATGCAGAGGGGCCTGGTGGCGAGAGGTGGCCCAGGACAGGCAGTGCCAGGCTCTAGATCCTGCACAAGAGGAAGAGCCCTTAAACCCCAGAAAGTTGGGGTAGGGATGGAGGCCTTAGACATGGCCTCAGAAGCAAGTGGACTTGCTAAGACCCTCACTTAGAACTTTTACAACTCTAAGCTTTGCACACTAGGCTAAACTGTCTTTGTTCCTGGTGGTGACCCCTGCTTAGCCTTAGCATCTGTGTCTGCTTGTGACTGTTTACACCTCGGTGTGAATCTGACTCTAGTGCTGGGCGGGGGATGCTGCCTGCCTGGCGTGACCTTCATTGTCTCCTTTCTATTTGCAAAGCACAGGAACTCTGTGTTCTCATATCTTAGAGACTGGCCACCAGCCCCGCCCTGTACTTTCTCCTGTAACAATCCACTGCGTGTCCGTGTGTCACACACAGCAGGGAGAAAACGGTAGCAGGAAAGCAGCTGCCTTACTCTCCACGACTGTGACTGTCTGAAGGCGGTTGGATAGTGGCCCCATCACTTTTTTTATTAGCCTTTCAGAGGGTGTAATTCCACCGAGCTTTGAAATCATAATTTCATAGTGTCATGCACTAAAACCAAGTGCTCTGAGGGTCTCAAGTCTAAATGAATGATCTTGGGTAGTTACAAGCTCTGAGGACTTACAAGTCACAAAGCCTCTACTATATTGCGTAATCAAATGTGATATATTTTAAATTGCTTTTCAAATATAACACCAAAGACTAGATAATTATAGATTCTCAAAACTGAATTCTCAAAACAATTACCCTTATAATTAAAATTAGTTTTTCCACAAAGACTCAAAGGCATTCTCGTTGACATAAATTTTCCCCACCAGTGAGCTTCTTGTCTCCTTACCCTTTATTATTCGTGCTGCCCAGCGGGCTTGCAGGTCAGTTGTGGGAATGGCGGCCCCGAGGGACTGGACAAGGCCAATCACTGCCAGGGTGGGCTTCTCCATCAGTGGGGGGAAGATGCCTTTAAACAAGGTGACCTCATTGTTTCTGCTTTTGATGATGGAGTCATCGAGGAAGGGGTAGGCATAGCTATAGCCGGTGGCAAAGATGACACAGTCGATGTCCTTGAACACGGTCCCATCCTCAAAAGTGGCCGCAGTCTCTGTGAACTCCTTCACGTTAGGCTTGATGGACACGGTGCCACACAGAATGCGAGCCGGGAGCTCGTCGTTGAACACGGGCTCTTTCCTAAGGGTTCTGTATGGAAAATAGAGACAGTCATTCAAACTATTAAAATTTCCTCTTCTTTTATTGCCTCATATACAAATTGGTAAGGAAGGAGAAAACTAAGATTTTCATGGAATATCACCAATATGGCTGACAAAACTGTTATGAGACAACATTGTGAAGTAGAGAAGTTGCCCTTCGCTGTGGTCTCTCTCTTCCACAGGGCTCGTTCCAGACTGCAGAGTAAACAGCCACGCCAGTGCCCTTTAAAAGCCAGTATCAGGAAACGTTCTAAAGTTAGAATACCTGGGTATTGCAATTTTTTTCTTCGCTACTTGTTAACTGATTGAAGTTTCTTTAATTCTCTGTGCCTTGAGTGTTTCATCTGGAATGGTAATAAAATTTCTAGCTACTCTGAAAGGTTACTGAGAGACCTATGTAATACAGAGAATTTTGCATACTCTAGCACATATATATGCTCACAAATGTTAGCTGCTCTTCATATAGTGGATCCAAGTCAGCCATAGTAGAGCAGAGAAGATTGTGGAGGAAGGAAGTCAAAGGTGGGAAGCCATAGTTGGCTGTCATGGGGGAAGAAGGATAAGTCCCTCACAGATAGAGGCTCTAGTCAGGGGAGAGAGAGGCACTTGGAATTTAGATATGGCCAGGAGAAGAAAGGGGCCAGTTTGAAATTTTGGCTACTGGAAGCCTGGAAAGAGAGAGCTTGACTTTTTAATTCAGTCATATCTCTAGTGAGTGTAGATACATCTGAGCTTAGAGATGAACTTGGATAATAATAAAGAATAGGGCTTTGTTCTGAAATGGCTGCGGGGGCTGTGAGAAAGAGCCACAGGAAGATTCCACTGGAGAGAAACGGAGCTGGACACTGAGAGTAGCTGGGGTCCAGCTGGACCAAGGCTAGTCTCAACTGCTCTTACTGACACTGCTTTAAACCACTGCCATCACTCCCCCACCACACTGAGACTGCCCTCCTCACGGCGCCCAGGAGCAAGCTCCCACTAACCATTTCACTCCGCGTACAGTAGCACCAGATATGAACAAAGCCCATCTATGGACCCCCCATCCCATGGGGAGTCTCCTTCCTGAACACTGTCTTCATTTCACTTCCAGGTCATCAGGCTCTCTGGGCCCTTTC